TGGGCCTGGGCGCTGTCCCTCAGCTCTTCAGCTCAAGGCTAGCGCTCTACCACTTGAGCCACAGCGCCACTTCCGGCTTTTTCTGTTTATGTGGTGCTGAGGAATCAAACCCAGGGCCTCATGCTTGCAAGGCATGCATTCTACCACTGAGCCACCTTCCCAGCCCCATAACCGCCAAATGTTTGACAGTACTGGGGTCAACACTAGGGCTTCCATGCATGTTAGGCAAGTTCTCCATCCCTGAACTATAGCCCCAGTCCTAATAGCCAGATGTTTTAATGGCCTTGTAAGAGGAAGGAATTCTCCGAGGGCAGAAACTCAAATTAGGCATTCTGCCTCACTTTTTGTTACCTCCTCCTGCTTCCTAACTTGTTCCCCTGTCAGCAGTATCAATGTCCAGCTGAAACCTCTGACTTCATGAAAGGATATATGGGACAGTGCTCAAGCCCCACATGTAATCCAGTTTTCCTGTCTGTTTCAGAGACGAGTTGTATTGCTGTCACAGGAAATGGATGCAGGATTACAGGCATGGCACCTGAGGCAGCAAGAGAAGTTACAGGAAGAAGAAAAGAAGCAGAAAAATGCTCTTAAAGCCAAAGGAGCTTCACTGCAGGGTCCACTTCCCAGATCAATAAAAAACAACTCGTGACACTTTTTTCCAGCCTCTCTCTGATGTTCTTTTGTATCAGCCTAGATAGATTTCTTTTCTGCCTCAGCCTAGCAGAAGAGAGCCCATCTGTCCTCAGAGCAAAAGAGCTCAGATACCAGAAAGAACAGTCTGCAAGAAGCCAGCCAGGCTGTAGTGGCTCATGCCTGCAATTGTAACCACTCAGGAGGCTGAAATCTGAGGATAAGTGTTCAGAGCCAGCCTGGATAGATAAATCCCCAAAACTCTTAGTTCCAGTTAACCAGCACAAAAACCAGAAGTGGGGGTGTGGCTCAAATGATAGAGCACCACTCTTGAACAAAAAACTAAGCAAGATGCATGGTCCTTGAGTTCAAGCCCTGGTAGTGGCCAAAAAAAGAGAAAAGAAACCAGCAAAGAAAACTAAGCATACTGCTTGGAAAGCTTGGCTCAGTGCCTCATCCCTGGCTCATTTCCAGTTCAGCCAAATTTGCTCTAGGTTTTTGTTTTTTCCTAGTGCTGGAGAATGAACCCAGGACCTTGTGCAAGCTAAACAAACACTGTACCACCAAACTACAACTCCAGCCTTGCTTTGGGATTTTTATCCCGGACTGGCCAGGCTATGAGTCTGCTGCTTCATGGACATGAAAAGGAGAGTAGCTGGTTTACTAGATATTAAGATTATAACAGCATATACACAGCCTTGTCACCACCTGCAGTTCAATAAAAGTTTTGATGAAAAAAGACTTTCCAGCTGAGGTCCCCATTGGCAAGCAACCAATGTCAGTTTGCCCAAGGTTCAGATTCATTGTCTAGGAGGCCCTCCCCTGGGAAGGCTGATGGGAAATACCAAACTTCAGATGGTTCATATTCTACTTAAGGAGTTGGGTTCTGAGGTCTCCATGGTGCTGACTGAATGTAAGATTGTTTGAAGAGAAGGGCCTTCACCTTCCCACCCCTCTACACAAGTGCTCAACCACTATTCACCATGAACTGGAAGGTGCCGGGGACTTGGGAAGCCTTTCATTTTATTGATCATTACCTTCCCATAAGACCTTTGTTCCTGTTCCAGGACAGAACAGTGGATTTCTATCTTTCTGCCCCAAATGTGATCATTCCTATCTGGAGCACTGTATCTAACCTGACCTAATTCCTGTCCAGCCTCCTTTATTGCTTCCCCTGCTAGCCTTCCCTCCCTTCCTCCCCCCACTACACCTCTTTCCTCTCTCGCTGACCAAATGCAATTCTTGGATCTTAGATTTCGCTGATGGTCGAGTTTTGTCTCCCACACTTTTCCTGCTTCTGTTGTGCTGCTTTTCCAGATCTCATTCTCAAGCCCTTATCTGTCTCCTTTTCTCACTGGCAGCTTCAGCCAGTCCCCCCCCCCCTTCCCTACATATCTCTTTTGTTCTCAGGGTCCAGTCAGTCCCAAAAGATTTACTTTTTAAGGAATTGCCTCCCGTTTTTTCTAGTGTAGAGGCAGAACATTCTGCAACTCCAAAGTTTTAACTCCCAACCCTTCCCTCTATCTTAACATGTTGTTTCACAAAGCTGGTTTTCTTTTCCCCAGTCCCATGGCCTTGAACCCCTAGAACTAGTCAATTCTAATTTACGGGGGAGCTCAATTGCAAAGGACATTCCCTAAGACTGGATCTCCAGAAGCAGTGTAGTGGGATTTGTTGTGTACTGAGTTTTGTTAAGAGTTTGGAATTCAAGAAGGGGGGAGGGGAGGACGCCAGGAGAAGTTGTCAACAGATCCCAGCTGACAACCCCCTCAGTAAAGTGCCCCTTCTCTCAGCCTTCCACACAAGGCACACCACTCCCCACCACAATCCCAGTACTTCCCACTGAGGTGAGACAAATGCTGAATATCACCGGAATCAAGCCACCCAAAATATGCTAGGGAAGAGAAAGTCTCCCACACATCCCGTCCCCAGGGTCCCCTACTCTGTGTGTGTCTGTGTGTGTGTGTGTGTGTGTGTGTGTGTGTGCCCTCCAGCGCTCTGCTGTAATTGGATTCAGGCTGAAATAACCACGTCCCCACCAGGAAAGGAGGGCATTGGGGGCGGGGGTGGAGGAAAGGCTGCGGGGAGAAGGGAGGGACCAAAAGAAAGACGAGGGCTTCCAACCCAGTTCGCCGACTAAGCAGAAGAAAGATAAAAACGGGAAAGAGAAGCACAAACGGACATTTTCAAGAACAATCCCCTCTCCGGCCGACTGGGCTCCAGGACTTCAACTTTGCTACCTGCCCAGGACAAAGACGCGCCGCAGGAGCAGCGGGCGCGATCCCAGGGCTTGGGCCCCGCCACGGAGCCCCCCACGGCTCGGCTGGCCCGGCTGCCCGGACTTCTCAGACCATGTCTCCCGCCCCTCGGCCCTCCCGCTGCCTCCTGCTGCCCTTGCTCACTCTCGGCACCGCGCTCGCCTCTCTGGGCTCGGCCCAGAGTAGCAACTTCAGCCCCGAAGTAAGTGAGCTCTTCTGGCCCGCTGGGGACGCGATCCCAGGGGTCTCCAATGGGACCGACACCTCCTCGCGGATGAGGACTCTGGGGGTCTCTGCGGCTCCGGCCTGCAGGATCCCCTCCCTTTCTTTTCCCTTCTCATCCTCGAGCTTCCAAGTTGATCCAACTTTTTGCTGTCTCCCACCAACCCCCACTCTGCCACTGACTCCTTCCTGTTCCTTCCTTTTCTCAGAAGAACTGTTCAGCCCCTGCCCCCAGGGCTCGGGGCTTCGCTCCTCAGCTAGTTGGGCTCTCCATCTAAGACATTTGGACCGCGCTCGCTCAAACCCCGCGTGTCCCGGTCCCTTGTCATGCGCGACTTTGTTGTTTGTGAACTTCGCTGCGCCCTCGCGCTCCCCGCGAGTGGAGCCAGCGCGCCCTCCGCGGACGATCTGCGGCCAGGTGCGGCCGCCCGCAGACCGCCCAGCACCCCGGCCTCGCCGAGATGACCCTCGGCCCCCGCCCGGAGCCCGGCGTGGGGAGACGGCGCTGGCGCGCTGGCAGCCGCTCCTTGTGCACAAAGCTCTTCTTGTGAACCGGGGGCGCAGCCCAGCCTCTGCCTCCCCTTCCCCACCCCCGCCGGCGCCTTCAGGCCCTTTTTGTTGTAGTTAATTGTTTTTCTGCGGTAATTGCACGCAGACTGGGGGCGTCGCTCCGGGAGTGGGGAGAAGGCCGGACCGGGCACCCTCGCGCGTCTTCTTGCCTCCCCCCACTCCTGTCCCTAGCCGCTCCCAGACCGTTGCCCACCGGGCCCTGGAAGAAGCCGCGTGGGAGTGATCGGAGGAAGTTTTTCCTCTCTCACTCTTTTATTTTAGGGTGAAGGTGGGAGACTGACTTAATCGCCTTCTTATTTTGGGCCATTCCAACCCACTCAGCCCGGCAAGGGCCTGGGTGCGGTCGGGAGGGGCTGAGAAAGGCCCAGGATTGGGGAGGGAGGGGGAATGGGATCTGGATTTGGCTGTGTCTGCCCTGGTCCCAGTCTTGGTCCCACCCCCAGAAAAAAACCTCTCCAGAAAGAACACACTCTCTGTGTCCTTAAAGGGATCTGGGGCTGAAGGGGAAAGGATGGTCCTTGGAATGGAATTGTGGTGTTCCCAGACCCCTCCCCCAGGGGCTGGAGACTAAGATCAGGGAAAAAGGCACCCCTTTACCAGGCCTGGAATCTCAACCTGAGCCAGAAAAAAAAAATTCCTAACAAAAGGATCCTAGGAATTGGGGGGGAGGGGGCAGCACTGCCCACTGCCAACTTCACTGCCTTGCGTTTTCCCCTCCCATGCCCCACTAGGCCCTGTGGGGATGGGCGGCAGCCCTTGGCCCAGCTGTAAGTGGGTCATGGATGTTCCAGTGCCAGAACCACCATTTGCTTCTGGGCCGTAGAAGGGTGGGAAGCAAAGAGAGGGAGGGGCAGGCTCAAGAGGCTAGAAGCCAGGGCCTGCTTGAGAGCAGAAGATCCCCCAGGCTCTCCAGGACTCCTGAGATGAGAAGTGTTCCTTCTATTTTCTCCAGGGGAGTGCCTGACTTTTCTCATTCATCTGGGCTTTGCTGCATTCTGTGGCTCATAGTTGCTCCTTCTCCAGGCCAATCTAAAGGAAAAGCTGGTATGGCCTAGGCCTTAGGCATCTGTGTCCCTTCCACCAGGCCTCTGCAGCCCTGAATTAGCTCCAGTTGAGCCCTCTCCTGCCCTCTGCCTGTTGGGCATCTGCCCTTCCCCCCACCCAGCCGCAGACAGAAGAGTCCTCTCTTCTGTGGTTCAGACCTCATAGTTTCTGTGGTTCTTGCTTTGCTCAGAGCCTTCCCTGTAAGACAGAAGAAAGAATCTTGTCCAGGAAAAGGATGGTGACACTTCTTTTCCAGGCCTATTGGCTCACTTGAATCAAGGGAAGTCCCTTTCTGTCTAAGCCTCCATGTTCCTCTATAGAATACAGAACAGGAATTGTGTGCGTGATTAGTTCAACTTGCTTACCTCCTGAGCAACTCACAGGAGAGGAACTGCGCCCATGGAGGCAATTCTCCCCTCTTCACTGCCCTCCCTTCTATCATCCTGCCTTGGGAGCATTCATCATAGCTTGGCTTAAGAGGGTTGAGGTTTCTGACTTCATTCCTCTTGACTTCCACTCCCATCCTCCAAGTCCTAAAGCAGCTGCGCTCCCAGCAGGGATCAGAAGACTGGGGTGTGTCTGTCCTGCAGGTGAGGCTAGGGGCAAAGAGAGTTTCCTACATAGTTGGGCACAGGCCACAGCAGGCCTTGTCAGGACACTGGCTGTGGCATCAGCCAGCACAGGTCAGGGCAAGCCTGCAGCTCAGGAAGAACACCTCTAGAGTTGGAGCATACTGCTTGGCTCCCCTTTATTTATTTTTTTGTCGGTTGTGGGGCTTGAACTCTGGGCTTAAGTGCTTTCCCTGCACTCTTCAGCTCAAAGCAAGCACTCTATCACTTGAGCCACAGCACCACTTCTGGTTTTCTAGTGGTTTATTGGAGATAAGAGTCTCACAGACTTTCCTGCCCAGGCTGCCTTTGAACAGCGATCCTCAGATCTCAGCCTCCTGAGTAGCTAGGATTACAGGCATGAGCCACCAGCTTCCGGCTTGGGCTCCCCTCTTGTATCTTGTATACACCAGGTTTGTGGAGACCAAGCCTTGCTGACTAGGAAAAGACTGGGCTGTTTACAGCTCAGGTCCTAATTCCCATCAGTCTCAGGGGAATACTTCCCGGAACTGTGTTGCAATTCTTCCCCATGTGGGCACAGGTCCCCAGTCAGCTGCTCTTGAATCACCCCCAGACCCTGCGCAAGAGTATTGTTCCATCATTAGTGCCTGGGCCTAGGAGGGAAGGGCTGTATGGAAATAGATGCATGCTATGAATAGAGGATGCAACACACAACAGCAGCCTATTTCCCTCTCTCCTCAAAGTCTCTGCCCTTTACAACCTGCAGCGCATTCTAGACTCCTTTTTTTTTGGGGGGGGGGTCCGGTCGTGGGACTTCAACTCTGGGTCTGGGCGCTGTCCCTCAGCTCTTCAGCTCAAGGCTAGCACTCTACCACTTGAGCCACAGCACCACTTCCAGCTTTTTTTTTTTCTGCTTATGTGGTGCTGAGGAATTGAACCCAGAGCCCATGCATGCAAGGCAAGTGCTCTACCACTGAGACACCTTCCCAGCCCTCTAGACTCCTTAAAAACAGCTGGAGCAGGGACCAGAGCTAGCTCCCTTGGTCATATCCCCCCATTAAAGAACCTAAACATTGGGCTGCGAAGGTGGCTCAGTGGTAGAGCGCTTTCCTTGCACGCCTGAGGCCCTGGGTTTGAGTCCTCAGCCCCACATAAGCAAAAAGAAAAAAGCCAGAAGTGGCGCTGTGGCTCAAGTGGTAGAGTGCTAGCCTTGAGCTGAAGAGCTGAGGGACAGTGCCCAGGCCCACAGTTCAGGCCCCATGACCGGACCCCAAAAAAAAAAAGAACCTAAACATCTTCATTTTCCATATATCAATTGAACTAATTTTACTTTTAAGAATTAGGAAAACACTCCATCCATTGTTCTTGCAAGAAAGGCTGACCATTTCCTTTGGATACCTTCACAGAGTGTGTACCTCTTAGTCAAACACCAAAAACCCAACTTTAAGACAATTTTCCAGCCTTTATAATTGGACAATTCACAACATACCTGAAGTGAAATATACTCACCAAGTCTCTACCACCTCCTGTATCTCCCACTAAACTGAGAATCTTGAATAGATTTTTATGTCCCAAGCCCTAGGTCAGATGGTGTGTTGGTGTGTTGGGCCAACTGCCAGTGGCTCATGCCTATTATCTTTAGCTACTAAAAAGGCTGAGATCTGAGGATTTGGGTTTGGAAAAAAAAAAAAAAAAAAGATAGTGTTTGGATGGGAATAATGGCTGTTGCAGACTTCTAAGGCCTCAGATTCTCTGCTTTTGTCAGCAGCCAGTCTCAACTCCACCTCTTTTTTTTTTTTTTTTTTGGTGCTGGTCCTGACACTTGAACTTGGGCCTAGAGGTTTTCCCTGAGCTCTTTTTGTTCATGGCTAGTGCTCTTCCACTTAAGCCACAGTTATTTCCAACTTTTTGGTAGTTAGCTGGTGATAAGAATCTCATGGACCCCGGGCGCTGGTGGCTCACGCCTGTAATCCTAGCTACTCAGGAGGCTGAGATCTGAGGATCGCGGTTCAAAGCCAGCCCGGGCAGGAAAGACCGTGAGACTCCTATCTCCAATAAACCACCAGAAAACCGGAAGTGGCGCTGTAGCTCAAGTGGTAGAGCGCTCGCCTTGAGCTGAAGAGCTGAGGGACAGCGCCCAGGCCCAGAGTTCAAGCCCCACGACCAACAAAAAAAAAAAAAGAATCTCATGGACTTTCCTGCCGGGGCTGGCTTTGGCCTGCAGTCCTCAGATCTCAGCCTCCTGAGAAGCTAGGATTACAGAATGTGAGCCACTGGTGCTCAGCTCTCACTCCTTTTAGGTCCTTTTTCCTAAACAAACAATCTCAGCTCTGAGGGTCCTAGAGGTGTGGCACCTCTGTTCTAGGACAGCCTCGACTCAGGTCCAAAAGCAGAGCCCCTCAACCTGACACCACCTCTCATCATGGGCCCAACCCATTACCAGATGGGACTTGCCACATTTGCAGGAACACTGACAAATATTGGAAGGAATCAAAGCTCTGATATAACATCCTGGAACTCTTTGTTAAGCCACCAGCCTTCACATTTTCAAGAAGGGTACAGCAGTCTGTAGTCTGTGTGGGCTCACGGGCAGCCCCCAAAGAGACAAGCCATTCTGGAGTCTAGGCCAGCAGTCAGTCTGGGAATTCCTCCATACTTGCTGCTAGAGTAAGTCTGGGAATCTAATGCTTTCCTCACAAAGCCATGGGCAGATGTCAGGTACTGTGGGGGCTGGTGGGAATGTTCTAAGCCATACTCTTCTTCCTGACAGGCCTGGCTACAGCAGTATGGCTACCTGCCTCCTGGGGACCTACGTACTCACACACAGCGCTCACCCCAGTCATTCTCAGCTGCCATTGCTGCCATGCAGAAGTTCTATGGTTTGCAAGTGACAGGCAAGGCTGATTCAGACACCCTGAAGTAAGTGCTTGGCCCTGGCAGGAATCCTGCCCAGTACCCATGACAACACTGAACACCATAAATGTTACCACTTGAATGCCTGACTCCTTCCCCATACCCCTTCCTTATAAGCTGATCCAAACCCTAACCTCATAACCTTGGCCTTTCCCCACATTGACATCCACAGCCTCACCCAACACTGATTCTGGGGCCAGAGGCCAGGATCCAGGGCCTTCTGTAGAACCCCACCCTCTCCCTTTGGAGATCTTTCTCTTTCCTATTCTGTATTGACCCCGTCCTCCTACCCAGGGCCATGAAGCGTCCCCGCTGTGGAGTTCCAGATAAGTTTGGGGCTGAGATCAAGGCCAATGTACGAAGGAAGCGCTATGCCATCCAGGGCCTCAAATGGCAGCATAATGAGATCACTTTCTGGTAAGTTCAACAGGCCTATGACTTTTCTCACTTTAGGGAGAAAAGTCAGTTGTGTTATGCAGAGACTCAGACCTCCTGAACTTGTCCCCTCCCTTCCTGGGAAGCATCCTGGACATTGGGAGGAAAATGGCTATAATCCTTGAAAAAGGTGGCAGCCATCAGTAGATATGCCCAGTGTCAGAGAGTCAAAGCTTGAAGATCCCCCACACTGTCAGTTCTTGGTGCTAAAGTATATCATACATGAGGCAGCAAGAAGAGTGGGTCTGGCAAAGATGGCTGGACAGTTCAGAGTAGAAGAGCAGAGGGAAAGAGAATCTTACCCCCGTTATACTAACACATCTCATCTTTTTCCCTAATGCCTGTACTTCAGCATCCAGAATTACACCCCGAAGGTGGGAGAATATGCCACATTTGAGGCCATCCGCAAGGCATTCCGTGTGTGGGAGAGTGCCACACCCCTGCGCTTCCGTGAAATACCCTATGCCTACATCCGAGAGGGCCATGAAAAACAGGCCGACATCATGATCTTGTTTGCCGAGGGTTTCCATGGTGACAGCACACCTTTTGATGGTGAGGGTGGCTTCCTGGCCCATGCCTATTTCCCAGGCCCCAACATTGGAGGAGACACTCACTTTGACTCTGCTGAACCCTGGACTGTCCGGAATGAAGATCTAAATGGTGAGTGAAGGAGCCCTGGGTCCAACTCAGAGAGTTGGAAGTTGTTTGGGAAGAAGAATTCCTCCTCTTTCCAGAATCCTTAAGTTCTACCAACTGAGGAGGCATATACCTATAATCCTAGCATTTAGGGCCTTGGACAGATCTCAAGTTCAAGGCCAGCCTGGCTATGGAGACCACCATAGACTACCTGGATTTAGGCCAACCTACATAGGGAGCCTTGTCTCCATATAAAGGAAATTCTAAGCTCTAGAAAGGGACTGATATGTAGCTCAGTAGCAAAACACTTGCCTAGCAAGTGCAATACCCTGGATTCGATCCCTAAGTTACAGAAAAAGAAGATAACTAAAACAAACAAACACACAACCAAAGAAAGAAACCCACCTAAGTGTTAGAAAGGACCACAATGACCTCCTAGTGTAACTTCTAACAAAAGCAAGAATCTGATTTTTTTTTTTTCTTGGGGGGGGGGGTCAGTCCTGGGGCTTGAACTTAGAGCCTAGGCACTGTCCCTGAGCTTCTTTTGCTCAAAGGTAGCACTCTACCACTTGAGCCACAGAGCCACTTCTGGCTTTTTCTGTCCTTTTTTTTTTTTTGCCGGTCGTGGGGCCTGAACTCTGGGCCTGGGTGCTGTCCCTCAGCTCTTCAGCTCAAGGCTAGAACTCTACCACTTGAGCCAGAGCGCCACTTCCAGCTTTTTCAGCTTATGTGGTGCTGAGGAATCAAACCGAGGACTTCACGCATGCAAGGCAAACACTCTACCACTGAGCCACCTTCCCAGCCCCGTGGCTTTTTCTGTTTATATAGTACTGAGGAATCAAACCTTAGGACTTCATGCATGCTAGGCAAGCACTCTACCAATAAGCCATATTTCCTAGCCCAGGAATCTGATTTTAACTATTTAAGTCTAGTCCCGTCTCGCTCCTTGGATGAAGTCTTTGACTTCACTTTTCCAGGCAAACATCATGTCTAGCTCCTGGAAAAAAGCCGGCCCCCTGAGGGTCTTTGCTTCTACATCCCATGTCTGCTGCAATTGTGATGCTACCCTCAGCATCGCACTCCCATTCCGGCCAGAGGAGGTTACTGACTGGCTGTGTGCCTCACATATCAAATAGGAAATTGACCCTACAGATTTGGTAGCTTGGGTGGGAAACAGACTGACAGTATAGAAACAGAAACCTCCTGTGAGGATGAAAGAGCCTGAGAGAAGGCACTCAGCCTGCCATCTCACCATCCTCAATCCTCCAGGGAATGACCTCTTCTTGGTGGCTGTGCACGAGCTGGGCCATGCACTGGGCCTAGAGCATTCCAATGATCCCTCAGCCATTATGGCACCCTTTTACCAGTGGATGGATACAGAGAACTTTGTGTTGCCTGATGATGATCGGCGAGGCATCCAGCAGCTTTATGGTGAGTAATCCATACCCACACCTGCTTGCTTGCCCCTCCTGATCCTTCTGGTCTGTGCATGTTCCTTCTCTCATGCGCTACAGGTCTACTCTCTCTCTCTCTTGCTCTATTTCACTCTGCCTCTAAGCTGATTGCTTCCTCCTCCCCAAAGGCCTATTCATACCTTGAGTGCTACCTGCCCATCTGTCTGTCATTCTATCTATACTCTCTCCAAGTCTGAAGTTCCCCCTTTATTGTCTCCCCCAGGGAGTGAGTCAGGATCACCTACCAAGATACCCTCTCAACCCAGGACTACCTCCTGGCCCTCTGTCCCTGATAAGCCCAAAAACCCCACCTATGGGCCCAACATCTGTGATGGGAACTTTGATACTGTTGCCATGCTTCGAGGGGAGATGTTTGTTTTCAAGGTGAGAGGAAGAAGTGCACTGGTGTGGGGGATGGGCAAAAGGACTCCCTGCAGGGAGGCAACTGAAGGACTACAAATTAAAATCAAGGGACAGGGGCTGGGAAGATGGCTCAGTGGTAGAGAGCTTGCCTTGCATACGTAAGGCCCGGGTTCCATTCCTCAGTACCACATAAGCAAAAAGAAAAAAAAGCCGGAAGTGGCACTATGGCTCAAGTGGTAGAGAGCTAGCCTTGAGCTGAAGAGCTGAGGGACAGCGCCCAGGCCTAGAGTTCAGGCCCCAAGACTGGACCCCCCCAAAAAATAATAATAATAAAATAAAATCAAGGGACAAAGGGCAACAGGGGAATAACAGAAGAGGACTAGGCCACAAGTCATAATGTGCTCTTCGTACCTTACCTGGCTTCCAGGAGCGTTGGTTCTGGAGGGTGAGGAATAACCAAGTGATGGATGGATACCCAATGCCCATTGGCCAGTTCTGGAGGGGCCTGCCTCCATCCATCAACACTGCCTATGAGAGGAAGGATGGCAAGTTTGTCTTCTTCAAAGGTAACTAGGCATTCCTCTTTAGTCTTTGGGAGTTGGGAATGTCTCTTTGGAGGAACTGATTCTAGTTAATTCCCAATAACCTCAGAGCCAGTTTCAACTCCGATTTTGCCTTTTGGTCTTTGCCAGGAGATAAGCATTGGGTGTTTGATGAGGCCTCGCTAGAACCTGGCTACCCTAAGCACATTAAGGAGTTGGGCCGAGGACTGCCTACTGACAAGATTGATGCTGCTCTCTTCTGGATGCCCAATGGAAAGACCTACTTCTTCCGAGGAAACAAGTAAGACCTCAAGCCCTTACCCCAGGCCTCTAACCTCAAAAGCTACTGTCATTCCAACCTCATATTCTCTCACCAGCCTCGTGCCTATGACTCATGCCTGTAAAGCTAGATACTCAGGAGGCTGAGATCCAAGAATCAACGTTCAAAGTCAGGCTAGACAGAAAAGTCTGTGTAACTCTAAGCTCCAACTAACCACCAAAAACCCAATGGCTCGAGTAGTACACAGCCTTGAATGAAAAAGCTAAGGAACAATGTCCATGCCCAAATTTAAGTCCTGGTTCTGGCACACACAAAAAATTCCTTGCCTGATGCTGGTAGCTCACACCTATAATCCTAGCCACTCAGGTAGCTGAGATCAGAAGATCTGCTTCCAAGCCAGCCCAGACAGGAAAGCCTGTGGGACTCTTATCTCTAATCACCTAAAACAAAAACAAAAAACCTTGAAGTGGAGCTATGGCTCAAAGTGGTAGATGTTAGCCTTGAGCACCTAAAAAGCTCAGGACAGTACCCATGCCCTGAGTTCAAACCAAAAAAGAAAATTCCTTCTTCCTAAATTCTGGAGCAAGGACCACTCTCCCGTAAACATGTTTCCCTGGAGAAGGGCTGGGCTGAACCCTCATTGTTGCCTAGCAATGAGCAGCCTCGACTGGGTGCTGCATGAGTGGGACGTGACCGGGTCACTATTTCAAACCTGGTCATTTGATGCCTCCTGCCCCCAGCACTGTGCCTCCACCCCAGCAGCCAGGCACTGTCATTAAGGGCTGCTGGTGGCTCCTTGTAGCCTGGATCCTCCCTTCCACCTCCTCCTTCTACCACTTTCAGCTGAAAGCTCTCATTACTCAAAATCCCTGTCCCCCACAGCTACCCTTTGCACACTGGTGCACTCTGTCTTGCATCCTGCTACCCTCTGAGATCATTCCTAGTGGCTAGTCACTATCCTCATTCTCCATTCCCCCAGGTACTACCGTTTCAATGAAGAGTTCAGAGCAGTGGACAGCGAGTACCCCAAAAACATCAAAGTCTGGGAAGGAATCCCTGAGTCTCCCAGAGGGTCATTCATGGGCAGTGATGAAGGTGAGTGAGACAAAAAAAAAAAAAAAGCTGAGAGGAGTTTGGGAATAAGGAGTTAAGGAAGAACAGAAAGAGAGAGCAGCAGCATGTGGAAGGCAGTTGATAGTGATAATCATGGAGTGCTGTTAGGTGCCAGTGGCTCACACCTGTAATCCTAACTGTTCGGGAAGCTAAGATTTGAGGATCGAGGTTTAAAGCTAGCTGGGGAAAGAAAGTCCATGATTGGGCTGGAAGGTGGCTCAGTGGTAGAGTGCTTACTTGGCATGCATGAGGGTTCAATTCCTCACCACCATATAAACAGAAAAATCCTGAAGTGGCTTTGTGACTCAAGTGGTAGAGCGCTAGTCTTGAGCTGAAGAGCTGAGGGACAGTACCCAGGCCCAGAGTTCAAGCCCCATGACCAATGGAAAAAAAAAAAATCCATGAAACTCTTATTTCCAATTAACCATCAAAAAGCCAGAAGTGGAGCTGTGGCTCAATTAGAGTGTAAGCTGAGATCTGAGGTTGTGGTTAGAAGCCAGACTGGGCAGAAAAGTCCATAAAACTCATCTCCAATAAACCAATCAGAAAATCTGGAAGTAGTGATGTGGTTCAAATGGTAGAACACTGGCCTTGAGCAAAAGAAGTTCAGGGACAGTGCCCAGACCCTGAGTTCAAGACCCCGTACCACTACCAGGAAAAAAAAAAAATAGTGACATGTTTACCAGGTAAAGACACTGACCCTACCTAATTACTTTCATGAATCCCCACTCTTCCAATCTTTCCATAATTGATCCCATTTTACAGTAGAGAAAACCTACTCAGAAAGACTGAAATGAGCTTAGCTGAATGGCACACTAACCAAGCATCCTTCTGCTCTTCTTTTTGGGATTTTTCCGGCCCCCATCCCTTCCACCTCTTGTCCTCCTTACCATCGTCCAGTCTTCACTTACTTCTACAAGGGAAACAAATACTGGAAGTTCAATAACCAGAAGCTGAAGGTAGAGCCAGGCTACCCCAAATCAGCCCTTCGGGATTGGATGGGCTGCCCATCAGGGGGCCGGCCAGATGAGGCTGCAGAGGAGACAGAAGAGGCAGAGGTGATCATCATCGAGGTGGACGAGGAAGGCAGCGGGGCTGTGAATGCAGCTGCCATTGTTCTGCCTGTGCTGTTGCTACTCTTGGTGCTGGCAGTGGGCCTTGCTGTCTTCTTCTTCCGACGCCACGGGACCCCCAAGCGACTGCTCTACTGCCAGCGCTCCCTGCTGGACAAGGTCTGACCCCCACCGCTGGCTCACCCACTGCTACCTTGAGGACTTTGCTTGTGAAGGCAGTAGCAGCATGTGGTAGTGGGTGGGTTGTTCCCACTCATCCTGAGCCCCTTCCCTCCAGCCTCCCTTCTGTATCCCCTGTCTGGCCTTTCCCACCCCTCACTCCTGGCATCACTTCTTCCCTAGGCCTTCCCTGAGGACTCAGTTGGGGTCCCTTCCAGCCTCAGGGGAGCCTTGTAGCTTGGTATGTGTTCAGCCTCTTTGTGAATGTCATGGGGGTTCTACGCTTGAAGGCAGGACCCTCAGACCTCACTGGCAAAGGTCAAATGGGGTCATCTGCTCCTTTTCCATCCCTGGACATACCTTAAACCTCTGAACTCTGACCTCAGGAGGCTCTGGGGACTCCAGTCCGGGAAGCCTCAGGTGTCCTCAATTGGCAGTCTCCAGCCATTCTTTGGCTGATTGGAATCAGATCTTCTTGTGGGGAGGGTGAAGGTCCCTGAGAACGTGAGGGGGTGAGGATTGCTCCATCACCTTAAGACCTTGGCAGGTAAATTCAAAGAGGTGTTTGGTGGCTTGCTCAGTCAAGATCCACAAAGAGCTCTCTCTGCCTTTCCCTCCCAGGAAAACTTCCAAAGCAAGTGCCTTAGCCATTAAGGACTAAACTGGGGCTGAAGGAGTCTTTGGCAGCCCTAACCCCTCTCGAATGTTAGCCTTGGGTGGGAATCTCAAGATTGGAAGAGCTGAGGAGTGTAGCCTAAGGTAGAGTGGGACCAAAGAGAGATGCTTGTGTCTAGAGCCCCAGAGATGGGCCTGGAGAGCCTTGTTCAAATGCAGGCACCTGGGGCTGGGACCCAAGGGCAGAGTAACCAAAGGAGACAGGAAGTGAAGTGTGGCAGCAGTGTATGGTTAGGGGCTGGGCAGGCCACAAGGGCACTACCAGGTGGATTGGGGTACCCAGGGGAGGGTACATTTTGTTGGAGCTCTCAGGACAGGAGACTCGGGACCTTACTGAGAGAAGTAACGTATTTGTGGGACCAGAGAAGGCCTCAGAGACCTGGAAATGCTCAGTCAGTCTCACTACCCCAGTGAGGGGCAGGTGCCTGGCTATGTCTTGATGAGGTGGACCCTTTCCTAGGTACCCACATGCCTCAGCCCATCTTACCCGTGGTGTACTGTCCTCCTCCTTCCCACCCAGCCCATCCATTTGAAGTCTCCTTCGGCCACCAAAGGTGGTCATGGTACTGGGGACTTAAGAGTGAGAGACCCTGTGGAGGGAGCGAGAGAAGAGGGATGTCAGGGGGGGAGGGCATGGGGGGAGGGGAAATGGGATGAACGGTGCTGGCAGTTCAGCTAAATTTGTTTTGTTTGTTGTTTTTTTTGTTTAATGTATATTTTTATTATAATTATTATATATGAACTCCATTCAAATTGTTCCTTTTTGTTAATGAGGGGGAGGGGTGGGGGTGGGGGGCAGAGGCATCTGACCCCAGGAACCTGCGGGGCGGGGCTGGGTCAGTGCCCTCTAAGGACATTTTTGACCTTGTTCAACCTTTCCACAAAGAATAAACTGTTTCACGATCTATGTTTGGTTGTAATTCTGTGTCGGAATACCAGGGTGAGGGCACGTGGTTGAGAAGGGCTGGAAAGGAAGTGAGTAGACATCCTAAGCATTGCTTTCCAAGAGGTGGGGTTTGGTATTTTGCACGGAAGAACACATTTCTTCTTGGTGGATTAACCAGGGATTTAGGAGCCAGAGTTGGGGAGTGGGGCACACCTCCTTGGGGGCAGAGGAGCAGATGAGAGATGCCAGCTGTTCTTCCCCCAACCTGCCTTAAAAGGCTGCCTTTGAGACTGAGGAAGTGGTCAAGACACAGCCAGTGGGAAAAAATCTTCCTAAATTGCATTACCCTGCTGTGTGAGCTGGCCACAGACCCTCAGTTTTCTCACATCTCTTCCTATAGCAGGGTTGTGACCCACAATTGTGAACCATGACTGATTGTGCTCAATCTGGGGCTCAGTGGCAGGCTCTTTCCCAGCCTGGACTCTGCTGTAGGGGCAGAAGGCAACCACAGGAACAGACCCTAGCTTCTGGTAGCAAAGTGACCCTCAAGTGCCCCTAAGGAACCAGGATGGTCAGGTTGGAAGGGCAGAATAATTAGGCTTTGTGTCCTCTTTCTTTAGAAACTTCTGCCCCAGACAAGGTTCTCAGGCTGTAGGCCCACCCTTCCTCCAAAACCAGCCTGAAGGGCGGGATCAGCTCAGTTGCTGAGTCAGCTCCACTGGAGGAGAGCAGCCCTTTTCCTTTACCGCCTTCCCTTCCTGCCTCAGCCCAGCCCGCTGGGCTCCAGCCCAGGTCCCTCCACAGCCCACTTCCAAGAGCCCTGGCCCCACCCATGCCAGGCATCCACACAGCTGCCCTTCAAGGGGGTTAGTGTGATTGCTTTGGCAGAAGGGGTTACCCCCACCGTCCTACCAGCCAAGAACCCTGACCCTGGCACCTCCCCTGCCAACAGCTGTTTGGCAGGGCCTATGTGTTCTAGTGTAGTTGGACAGTGTCTCCCCCAAACACCTCCAGCAGAGGGGATGGGTACTGACAAGATAACTCAAGGAAGTCAAGGGCATCTGGGGGTGGTAGGACCCAAGCTTGTGGCAAGAAACTCCAAAGATGAGCTCATGGCCCCTTTGTGTTTTTTGTGGTCCACATCTGGAGACAATTACAGATGTTATCCAGTGGGAGTTCTGCAAAACACAGCTGGAGCCAGCGAAGAGCCCGGGGAGAGGGGCTGCCAGAGGGAAGGAGAGGGGGAGCCTAAGGCTCCTGTGGCTGGAGTGCGGTTTCCCCATCACGAGGAAATTATTTGGCCATGATTCTGGAATCACAAGATGCTCTCTGAAGCCAAGGGGGAGAGATGGGAGGGGAGGACTAGAGACAAAGGGAGAAGAGGTAGAAGCCTGACTTCACACTCAGAACTGTGGGGGCTACAGGGGATCCTGTGCCTCTGACAGGCTGGGGGCTGCCTGTTCCATCCCAGAGAAGCTGCCCTGTGACCCTGGGAGGGGTCTCAGTGATCACAAGGCCCCACTTGCAAGAACTCTGGGATCAGGCCGAGGTGACAGGAGACAGAGGGCCCTGTGGCTCCTGAAGATCTGCAAAATGCTTTCTCTGCCCTGGCCTGGTTTGTCCATTGGGCCTGACCCAATTCCTTGGTTCCAAGTTCCTTTATTCGAAAGCAGTGCTTGTGAGTCTCAGCGGCCAGGAGAAAGCCAACGGGAATCTTCAAGGCGATTTCCTGGGCAGAGCCCAGGAAAATAGGTCTGAGAAATTGCTGGACTGAGAACAAGGGTCAAGGAGGAGCAGTGCTCTGCTCACCAGTGCACCCCACACATTTGGAGGGGGCCAAGCACTTCCCTCTCATCATCTCCCCTTCTCCAAGGTTTCTGCCACCAGCTGGGCCTAAGTGTCAGGGTTGCCAGCCAGGCATTGGGTCAGTGGGCTGGGAAGGGAAGGTGGAAGAGGAGTCTCGCCCATTGGAGGGGAACACCCTCAGCCACAGAAGATCTGGGTAACCCCCTGCAAATTTCCCCCAGGACTCCTCTCCCTGCCTTCTGACAGACTTCCCAGTCCTCTCTATCCCTGTGTGTCTTCCCTTCCCAGGAGAGGACCTAGCGCCTGCTGAGGTCCTCACGGTCCACAGCCAAGCAGGCAATAACATGGCCCCCATTTCATCCAGGAAGGAAGGGAGACCTAAAATAAAAAAAGACAAATGACCTGCTTAGGACCGCAGCTGAAAATCCTGACATGACTGATTTTCTGACAAGATCTCTTTTTCTCTCTCTCTCTTTAGGTAGGGCTTGAACTCAAGGCCTGGCTGCTGTCCCTTAGCTTTTTGCTCAAGACTGGTACTCTACTACTTGAGCCACACCTCTACTTCTGCTTTTGGGGGTTAATTGGAGAGAAGAGTCTCACCAACTTGAGTGCTCTGGCTGGTTTTGCATTGAGCTCCTCAGATCTCAGCCTCCTTCATAGCTAGGGTTTGATAAGGTGGGTGAGGTATCTCATAGTGTGGCTCCTGTGTCGCTGAGTGGACACATGCTAGTGTGTGCTGAGGATGTATCAGCACAGGCAGCCTGCTGGTCACGTCATACAGCACTATAGTACAGGGGCAGGAGGGCAACAGGGAGCAGAGAGAAAGGGTCTTCCTCAGGAAGTCACCTTGAAGTCCTTCACTTCCCTTTTGGGGGGGGGAAGAAAAACAGGCATTCTGAAAGGAAGAAGAGGTAGAGTCCCAGCCTTGAGTGACAAAAACTAAGGGATAGCACCCAGGCCCTGAATTTAAGCTCCAATACTGATACCAAAAGGCCAGAGAGAGAAGGCACCAAAGGGACGGTGGACTGTGACAGCAGCTAGGGAAAGGGAAAAGGGGTAGTGAGCAGCTATGCTCAAGAGCCTAGGGGGAGGCAGATGCTCTCTGGGTTGGTACCAAGCTCCTAAGGTCCCCAAGGAACTCTAGCCAGGGTCTCCTGCGGCCCTTGTATCCCCTTCGGACCACACCAAATCTCAGTTCACATCCTTGAAGAGACCAGTATTATACATCTACCCTACCCCTGGGGGTTTCTTTATTCTCTCTCTCTCTCTCTCTCCCTTTCTCTGCCTGTCCTGGGGCTTGAATTCAGGGTCTGGGCACTGTCCCTGAACTTCTTTTGCTCAAGGCTAGCAGTCTACTACTTGAGCCACAGTGCCACTTCCAGCCTTTTCTGTTTATGTGGTACTGAGGAATGGAACGCAGGGCTTCATGCATGCTAGGCAAGCACTCTACCACTAAGCACATTCCCAGCCCACCCCTGGGGTTTCTACCCTTGTCCTTCAGTCTTGGGGGACTGGGGAACCCTAGAAAAGTCCATGAGGGGCTAGGCAGCCAGGGCCTGGAAGGGAGGCTAGCCCGACTGGCCTAAAGCCACCTTCCAAGTGAGCTCACACACATACTTTCCACTCTGGCCCAGCGCCGACGGCTCAGCTCCTTCCAGGCCAGCCTTCCCCAGCCAGGCCCAGCCTCCCTCTCCTGTCCTTTTCTGCCATCAGTCCTGGCCCAGGGTTTCCACAGCAGTATCCTCTAACCAGGGCTGCCATCCTACCCCCAGGGAGCAGCTTTCTCTGCCTCCATGATGAGCCCAGCTTTTTTGTTGTTGTTGTTGGTTGTGGGGCTTAAACTCTTGGCTTGGGCACTGTCCCTGTGTTCTTCAACTCAAGGTGAGCGCTCTACCGCGTGAGCCACAGCACCACTTCCGGTTTTCTAGTGGTTTATTGAAAAGAAGTCTCAGGGACTTTCCTGGCCAGGCTGGCTTCAAACTCTGATCCTCAGATCTCAGTCTCTTGAGTAGGTAGGATTACGGGCTTGAGCCACCAGCTCCTGGGCAAGCCTGGCATTTCTTGAAGCCCCTTATTCCCTGCTCCCAAAGACCCACACCAGAGTACAAAAGAGCAGCAGAGCCAGGCTCAGGGCGCTGGTGGCTCACGCCTGTAATCCTAGCTGCTCAGGAGCCTGAGATTTGAGGATTATGGTTCAAAGCTGGCCAGGGTAGGAATGTCCATGAGACTTTTATCTACACACACACACACACACACACACACACACACACACACACACAAGGTAGAACTAGAGCTGTGGCTCAAGAACACTAGCCTTGAGCACAAAAGCTCAGGGATAGTACCCAGGCCCAGAGTTTAAGCCCCAGGACCAGAAGGAAAAAAAAAGGCAGAACAGACCTAATGAATAGACGGAAGGACTTCCTTCAAAAAAGTGCCTGAAGTAGCTCATTGAGTCAGAGAGCAGGCCGGGTCTGGGAGCTGCCTCACTATAGCTCACATCCTGAATACTCACTTGACTTCCCACTTTGCACTTCCTTGACTTGGGCAGCATGGGGGTCTACATGAGGCAAAGCTGGATTTCCCATGTAGGAGCTCCAGCAGGTGCCTCAGAAGGCCTACCAGGAAACAGGAGCCAGGCACCAGTGGCTCAAGCCTGTAATCCTAACTCAGGAAATAAGATCTGAAGATCATAGCTCAAAGCCACCTTAGGCAGGAAAGTCCATTATACTGTGTGTGCATGTGTGTGTGTGTGTGCACGTGCATGCACCAGTGCTAAGGCTTGAACTCAGGGCCTGGGCTCTATCCCTTAGTTGGTTGGTTTTTTTTGTTTGTTTGTTTGTTTTTTTTGGGTCTGGTAGTGGGGCATGAACTCTGGGCCTGGGTGCGGTACCTCAGCTCTTCAGCTCAAGGCTAGCACTCTACCACT